GAAACTTGATAAAATCACTAGTATGAGAAAATACGAACAAAATGACACAGTCGCCTTATTTAAAAATCGGCTTGTTTTAATAACGTTAATAACAGTAAATCCAATAACAAAAAACTATAATTTATTATTGGATTTACTGTTCGGATAAGAAACAATCAATATATATACGATCAATATATATATATATATATATATATATATATATATATATATATATATATATATACTAGCTGACCCGACAGACGTTGTTCTGTACCCTCGTCTACAATTTTTCAATATTTTATACTAATATTTACTGCTTAGTTAAAATAATAATTACTGTTTTTTGAATTACTATTTACATCAATATATGAGTGATGTTGAATGTAGAACTGTTTCAAATAAAATGATTGTTCTCAATTCCCACAGTTAACACTTTAATTATTCATTTAACAAATATTAAAAAATGTTCAATAAAATTGTATATTAAAAATTATACACTGCGATTTATAGAACAAATTTATTTCCAATAGCTCAATTTATTTTATCGCATTTAAGGGTTATATAGTATTTTTAGTCATACCTGTAGATGTGGATGTATAAATGAATGATTTTTTGTTTATTCACGACTGAAGCATTGATTTTCCAAACTTATCACACTAAAAATTATCGTCTGCCTTTGTGATTTATGGTCATAGCATAAGATACACGTGTTGAAAATTGAAATCATTGAAAAAGTACAACAAATTCAGAAAGCAATCGCGGCAAAGGTGCAATGTCACCTTTTATTTTTCTACCCAAAATAGTTGCTTCAATAATGTTGCCTATCATTTTTATAATCTCGTACCATATTTTAACTGGCTTTTAGTAATTTTAATATCTAAATTACATTTTTTTCTCTAATAAATCAATATACATTATTGCTTAAGTTTATATTTGAAGTAAATTAATTTGTCAAATCCTGTTCACATGTGCTCTATTCAACTTACGATCAACAAAATTATTGCTCTGAGAATTTTTTTACTGTGCTCCAATTTATTTGATATTTTGGAAATAGGCTAATCTTTATCTTAAGTTCAATGTTTTTAACAATTTGCACTCCGTCACCATCCACAGCATTAATTGGATTATTACTCTTTTAATTCTGATTTTATCAGAACTTGTAATACACTATTTTAAAGGTGATTAAATGAGCTACAACTTTCTCTATCAGTAATTTTACAGTAACTTCTCTTATTGTGAAACGGCGAAGGGACAGCCGCCCACTCCTTAATTAATCATACATCTATCAATATTTGTGTAACGGAAAAATAATAAACAACAATAATTAGTCAGAAAAATACCTCGAATTTTCATATATATATATATACTTTCATATGTATTCTTTCAGAGGTATTATGATGAGAAATTGGTTGTTTTTTTTAAAGGTTTTTTTTTCATGAAATCATGAGTTTTTTGAGAATCATTTGTACTAAAGTTGTGGTATTTTCTAGAATACATTAAGATCTCTTAAACCAAGTTAATTCTAGATGGAATACGATTATTTTTAATTTTGGTGGATATGGCACTCAAACTATTTGATTTAAATAAAAAAAAAATTGTATGCGTCCTTTATCTGCATGATAGCTCACTCATTTTACACGCAGAAGTACTCATTTTAAAGCTTATTTTGAGCACTATAAAAACACATTCTCATATCTAGCTTAATAATGTTCCTAAAACACTATAAAATAGCGATTTATTAAGATTTTAGTTGATATAATTCTGTTCATTACATGATTTTCGTTAAAATGTATATTTTTGAAGATATTAGCAAAAAATGATGAAAAACGCAAAAAAGAAACATATATTCAGTAGCCAGTAACTTGAAAAGTATTTGCTTTTTTGGAAAACATTATAAAACATTTTTCTCTTATAATTAGTTCTTTTATCGATACCCAACGTTATTTTTAAAAAATAAGAATAAAATTACACCACTGAAAAGAAATGTCATCCACCCGAGAAGTGGTAAAGGAGTCTAAATTGTTTTCACTTCTGAAGAGTAAGATGAACCTAGTTCCAAAATTCCAAACGAATTGGAAAACAGTAAAAAAAGTTCAGACCGAAAGCGCTCCATTGAGTAAATATTCCGTACCCAATGACAAACATATGAATTTTTGACATAATGAAACTTCTAAATAATTTTTTGAATAAGTAATTTTTTTTGTATTGTGACTTAGTATAGTATGGCAAAACGACTGCAAATTGAATATTTTTGAGCGCAATCACTTATGGTTCGTATCCTTTGCACGAATTCGTACGGCGAATCTGTTCGCAAAGTGCGCAAACAAAATTATTGCAAGCAAAAGCAAACCACGCGCACGTTGAGAACACGATTCGCCGTGCGCGTCAGACGCATGTTATATTATTTGCATCTTATATTAATTTAATTTTTGGCACATCTCAGCTGCTTTTCGGCATTAATAATGTAGACATTAAATTTTCCTTATTCATAATCATGAATTTATTATATTTTAATATTGCCTTAGCCTATAAGTGAATAGAAATGTTTGGCAAATGACAGTTGTCATTTGTTTTTAATGTCAAACCATGCCTTAAATATTTTAAAGGTCAAACAATGATAAGCGGTTTTTTGTATTTTTTTTCATTTATTCCTACAATCTAACTATATTTCTATGAATCAAAACATTCTAGAAAATTTCCCGAACAAACTTCAGAAAGGTTCATGAAAATCCAAATTATAGTTTAGGAGGATTAATGAAACTTACATTGTTACACAAGAATTTTATATATAAGATATATATATATATATATATATATATATATATATATATATCATTGTCACAGTCTTGTAGCAGAACTGATTAGTTCAAACGTGTTTCGCGCTTTCCATATATTATTTTGAGCGCTTTTTGCTCATGTTTTTTTAATACCTCTATATTGATATTTGTAATTATTTCAATTAAAATTGCTAATAATGCGCCGTAACAACAATATTAATATTTCATAGTTCTTGTTTAGAATGATTATTATATATTAACATACACAGGTCACGTAAAAATACCGTTTTCGAGGGCAGGCGGCGTGTTTTTACGAATTAGAACGTTACTTACTTTAAAATCGATTTACATACGAAATTGAGAGAGTAAGCTGGTACTTTTGTTTGGATTAAATTGTTTTTTGTCGTTTATTTTAATATTATAATACTTACAATTAGTATATTTAGTTTAGTACTTAGTTTATTTAGGACATTTATAAAACAACAAACTTTTCATTTCGAACATTTTATTGGTTCGAATAATTATACTAATATACATTAGTAGAAGCTAGACTGCATTTTCTAAAATTTAGTAAAGACTATTGTATACACCTATATAAAAATAAATAAACAATGGGTAGTACTGCCCTAAGGCAAGTGGAGAATTTATATAATAATGCCATATGCTAAGCCTTATCGAAGGCTGATGTACAGAAAAACTGTTACACAAAATTATTTTTTATCTAGTGAGTGGGAAGTGAGTTGGCGATCATGTTGCATTGTTGAATAATAGAATGATGTCTTCTAAAACCAAATTCGTGGTTAGGTATCCACGTTTCTCCGGGATAGTGTTCTAGAAATCTTTGTAAAATAAGTTTTTCTAAAATTTTTGATAGAAATGGAAGAAGGCTTATAGATCATAAGATCTTAAATCAGATGAATCTTTATTTGGTTCTTCCATACAGATGCCGAATAGTTAAATTGAAGAATGGAGTTGAAAAGCATTGTTATTAGTAATAAACATTTAATACAGACATTTTTAGCACTTCGAAGCGAATCGATCGATACCTAGGGCTGATTTTATTTTATTAACATTCATTTTATTTTCGATCTCGCTTGGATTGAAAGGTCTTATGGTAGAAGTTTGGTAATTTTCTTGAAGAAAATTTAATATTTCTATATCTGAAGTTATATATTGGTCTTAAATATTCCACAAAAGCATTGCAATTTTCAGAGACTCTTTTCGCCCATGTAATGTGTATATGTAAATAAATTTTCAGTGCAGATTTTGTTATTAGAGGTTTTTGTTTGTTCTTCAGTGGCTTCCAAATAAAGGCATCGTATCTTAGCTGTAATACATATGAATTAAATGAATCATTTTTCCAAAAAGCGATAATTTTTCCTAATTTATTACTAATTTGGTTAAAACTATTTTTTTCCGACGGCCAATGAATTTGTGCAACTTTCGCCTAGCTTAGCAGATATTAATCTTTTTATTTCAGATGAAATTATATGAATCTTCGCGGTGAGACAATTCGAGGTGCAATCTCGCACGTTTTAATGATAATTTAATTTAGAAATTGTGGGAGTTTGGCAAGTCGTGACAGAAAAATAAAAATGGCAAGTAAGCTGTGAAAAAAATAAAATGAGGAGCGTGGTTTGTTTTGATAAAAAAGATTGTCGGAATTGTTTTTTTTTTTGAATTTATAAAATTCAATCTAATAATAAAACTAGTGGGGTGTATGGCGTCGTGCCTTAAGCAAATGGCTGGAACTTCCCGTACCGTAACAAAATGTTCAAGGAATACTGAATGTTTTCAAAATATTGTAATATTGTCTAATATTTATAAGAATTATATAAACTGAAATGCAAAGTTGAAATTATTTGTTTAAAGTATATTAGGACTATAGTCAGAATTAAAAATAAAATCTGAATTATTTTCGATATACAAAAAAATTTTCTTTGACAAAAAAAAATTGAATCCGTGCGCCCGAAAACGTGGCTGGAAAATTGTATCCATGTACACACACACACACATCCATTTTTTCTGAGGTATGCCAAAATGCTCAGAAACCATCAAAACGTCGAGAAATGCAAAAATTTTCAATTTCGATTTTTGGACGATTACAATAATTTACCCTACGGGAAGTTAATAAGCAAATGTCGAATCGCTCAATAATCATATTAAAAAATGCAATGCATATTACTATTTAATTGGAATAACTTATTCAACGAAAGAGATAACAAAATCAAGTTTGCTCACCTGATTCATAATCTTTTATTGTTTCTGTCATAAAATCAACGTATAAATGAGGTCTAAATTTTCGTTCCAGGCCGTAACTATAGAATCTGAATAAACATTCCAACCCATAGCGAAAACCACCTGCAGCATCATCTAAAGCCAATGATCTGAACTCTGAGTACATTGTACCATTGAAATTCTCCCTCAAAAAGAACGACCAGAATCTAAAAAGAGTGTTCATCTCTTGGCTATGCCCAATGCCAAGACGCTTTCTTTCTGCAATTTTAAAAATATTAAATATTGTTATCAGTAAATCTAATGAGCATAGAATTACCTTTTAGACATTTGGAGTGATACTTGTGATAGACTTGCTGAGTAAAATTATTTTCTTTGAGCAACGAGTGTGATGGATGTTGGAAAATAGGCAATGATTGTGGAGCACTGCTGCCGCAGCTTGAACCAAGGTGCGATTCACTTGGACTTGTACCAGCGCTGCTTCTACAATAGTATTATATATATATATATATATATATATATATATATATATATATATATATTATATATATATATATATATATATATATGATCAATTTCTTGGAGGGCGTAACATAAAGTACAAAATATAAATAAGTAAAGATTTTTTAAAACATCTTTATTTTTCCATACGTTTCGACGTAAAATTCTACGTAATCGTTAAAAATTAAATATACATAAGCAAAAATAAAAAGAAAAAGATTTAACTAAAGAGACAGACTAATTATATCTAAACCTTAAATTAAAATAATGCATAAAACATTACTTACTTGAATTTCTTAGATTATCACTTACACATATTAATACAGCTTGTAAAAAAATAATAATGGAAACAAGCACCAAATGTCAGTAATTTCTTTTTTATAAAGAATAAAAAATTCTTCTTGATTTTGATGTCGTTTTATAGGTCTTTACGAAAAAATACGATATACCTATTTTCAATTTCTTAGCTCATCATCTGGCCGAGATATCATTGAAAACATGTGAAAGTGGCCCCTTTTTCGTCAAACTCATTTTTTGTCAGAAATATAAAAGATATAAAAAAACTAATAACGAGATTATATTCACACGGATCTTGTCTATGCAGTTTATAACAAATAAAGTGAAAACATTTATAGTTAGTGCATAAGAAGGTGAAAATAATTTTTCATTTTCCATTTCTTACCAGTGCGGATTTTTGGAGTACTTTTAAATTAGCACCATTCGAAAGTTTGTATATTTTTCTTATGTCATTCAAGATTTTATTTAGATATAGGTAGAACCTCGTGATCAAAACAAGCAATTAAGCTAGTACACGCGCTGACGGTATAAGAACACCCATATAAGATCCCTGAGCAAGAGCGACGACAAGCTGGATATGGCAGAAACCGCAAAATGACATTTTTTAAACTAATTTTTATTGAGAGGTCATAACCGCTGGACCTGCCTTCCCAAATCATCTGTCAATACAAGTCAAATGCTTTTTCAAGTATTACAATCGGACGCTCCGTTGTTCTCTTAAAAACTGAGTTACCGCTTTTGGCACTTTTTGCCTCGTATTTCAGAACGGCTGAACCTGCCTTCGCCAAAAACTAATTAACATGTCTCATTATCGAAGAACCAAAAATGGTAATTCCGTTTTTGAGAGAACAAAGCGTCAGATTTGAGTGATTCAAAAAACATTTTATTTATATTGATTAAACAAAGAAATGTTCGAAATTTTGGAAAGGCAAAAAGCGGTTGTGGACTCTCAATAACAATAAGTTAAACTAGTGGGGTGTATGGCATCGTGCCTTAAGACAAATTGCTGGAACTTCATGTACCGTAACGAAATGTTCGAGGAATATTGAATGTTTTCAGATAAATTTTTATAAATAATTTAACATTGTCTAATATTTATAAGAATTATATAAAGTGAATTGCAAAGTTGAAATTATTTGTTTAAAGTATAGTAGAACTTTAGTCAGAATTAAAAATAAAATCTGAATTATTTTCGACAAAAAAAAAAATAATAATAAAAATTGAAACAAACATTTTTTGTCTAAAATCAATTATTTTGTTAAAACAAGCAGAAAGTTCTTTGAATCATTTAAATCAGACGCTTAGTTCCCTCAAAAACTGCAATTTTTTTCACATTTAGCTCTGTATCTTCGAAATGACTGGGCCTGCCTTTGCCAAACACTAATAACCACTTCTCCCAATCATTACTAATTGAATGTTTTTAGATCATTCAAATCGGATGCTCCGTTCTCTCAAAAACTCGATTTCTATTTTCTACACTCTTTGCTCCGTAACTGCTGGACCTGCCTTTGTCAAAAACTAATCAGCACATCTCCCTATCAATAGGAATCTAATGGTTTTTGAACCATTCAAATCGGTTGATCCGTGTGCCCAAAAACGTGACCGAAAAATTGTATCTATACATACATACACACACACATCCTCTTTTTCTGAGGTATGCCAAAATGTTCAGAAACCTTCAAAACGGCGAGAAATGCAAATATTTTCAATTTCGATTTTTGGACGATTACAGTGACTTACCCTACGAGAAGTTAATAAATGTAATTTGGCGATCAAAAATGTTTATTGGACATATGTACATCAAATTATCAGATATTTTATAGAGATTTTAATAATGTGTACACAGTTTGTGTAAATTTTTTTTGGATCCGCACCAAGATGTTTAGTTTTAAAATTCACGTATATGGTTCAAACAAACGTCCTCGACATTTTCGACAATGTGGAATAACCGATTTGACTAATTTGAAAAAACTATCGTTTCGTATTGATAATGACGCGTGCTGATAAGTTTTTGACGAAGGCAAGTTTTGGCCGTTCCGAGGATATGGGGCAAAAAGTACCAAAAACGGTAACTCAGTTTTTAAGAGAACGGAGCCTCCGATTTTAATAATTAAACTAGTGGGGTGGGTGGCATCGTGCCTTAAGGCAAATTGCTGGAACTTCCCGTACCGTAACGAAATGTTCGAGGAATACTGAATGTTTTCAAATAGATTATTATAAATACTGTAACATTGTCTAATATTTATAAGAATTATATAAACTGAATTGCAAAGTTAAAATTATTTGTTTATAGTTCTTTTTCCAATTTCTGTCATTTTTTCCTAGTGTATATTAATTTCTCAATGTTCATTCTGTAGATCCACTGGTGTTGACATAAAATTCTATGTCGAAACGTTTGGAAAAATTAAAGATTAACTTCTAAATCTTTGCCTTTTATTTGATGTATTGCCCTTGAAAAACTTACTCATATATATCAGTGGATCTACAGAATGAACATTGAAAAATTAATATAAACTAGGGAAAAATGACAGAAATTGGAAAAAGAACTATAGATATAAGTTATATAATTATAACAATAACAATTATTACTAAACAGATAAGACGAACAAAAGAAATGAAAAGTAAAAAGAAATATATACAAACATACAAAAGCGTAATATATATATATATATATATATATATATATATATATATACATAAATATACACATAACACATATATACATATATATATATATATATATATATATATATATATATATATATACGTAATACGTATATATAGATATATACATACAGACATATACACATATATATATATATACATATATACATACATACACATACATATACATACATACATATACAATACAGACACATACACATATATAAACAATAAAGGTAACTTACATAAATATGGTCTTACATCAGTAACTAGCGCATGGCACATAATTTTGCACTATATACTATATACACTAACCTGTTTTTGTTTTGTTGAACAGAGTATAGCAAAATATTTGTGAAATATATAATATATTTTGAACGGAGAAAGTAGTTTATGCATACGTTTCCGAGGCAGTAATGAAACATGTGTTTAAAAATTATTTGAAGAGACCGTTTGAAGGATAGTTGGCGAGTCTTTTTACAATCAGTGTTTCGAAGTATGGGTGAAGAGGCTAAGAATCAAAGTTCGGGATCGGACCGAAACAAAATTGGAAATATTATTGAGTATCACCTGATAATTTTCACAGAGTAAGGAGGCATCACACCTTTTATTAATGCAAGATTTATTGATGCTGATTAGACAAGATTCAGCAAACCTTCTCTGAATAATGTTCCGTTCGTGATAAAGTACACTAGCGTTGTAAAAGTTAAAAGAATGTTTAAAATTTTTTATATGTTCTGTTATCATCGTTTGATTTTGTCGCGGATTTTTTGAGTTATTATCATGTTGTTTTAGTCGTTTTATTAAATTCGGTCCAGTTTCACCTATGTAAATGGAATCACAATCATTGCATTTTAATTTATGGACAATATTTGACGTGCGTTCTAAACTAGTGGGTGATTTGATGTTGGAAAAAAGAGAGCTAAGGGTTAAGTCTATGTTACAAATTTATCTTAAGACGACATTGTGAAACAGTTTTTTCCAAATGGGAAAGAGTTCTTTAATAAATTTCTTTTCTATTTCCAAATTTTTGGCGCCAAATTTATATACCGTCCATAGGGTAGAAAGGTCTAGATAACAAATTTTTGAAAGACATCAAAAAAGCACATTTTTACAATGATGAAGTAGAAGGCAGTTTACCGAACGTAGTCAGATAATTGTTCGTTTGATATGTGTTATTTGTTGTGATATAATTCTTATGGTTTTCACAATATAGTTTATATTTGCTCAAAGTCAAATTGGACCTTTGTGCCTCGCCCTGCTCTACATATATACTTTTTATTAAATTTTCTTCAATTCATCGAAAGTTACTTGAAACTTTTCAAAAAGCAGGTCAAAGAAGAAATACTTAATTCATTTTCTATCTCTCCTCGCAAAAATTTGAAAATTTTGTATAAGCTTTGTAGTATTATTTACAATTATACACAAAATCCAGAATCCAAAAATAATCTGGAAAACTTGAAACTTGAAACGTAATCAATAAGTCGAAAGACCAAAAAAGACTTGGATTCGATAATACCATGTTTTCTATAGGAAGTGTATAAAACTTCCAGTTTGATTGTACGTATTGACAAAAAATAAACTAATGGGGTTTATTGTTTTTATAAAGTCGGCCTACATTTCTGTCCTTGGATTCAACAAATATAGTGTGAGGGCTCATATCGCAACCTTCAAAACGTATCAAATTATTTAATGGATTAACTCTTTCATCTGATTTATTTTGATCGTTTATATTGTTGTCATCACTTATTAGATCTTTTGTTATTTCTATTGTTGTATCAATATTATTTGACGCTAAATTACTGTTTTTCCTTTTGTTCTAACGTATCCCTTTTATTACTATCTGTACTTACATCGTTGATAACTTATTTATAATTAACATTAACACTTATTCAAATCACAACTACTAACTGATTCATTTTCTACACTTATTACACTTTCAGTATCACAAAAATCCATGTCACTCGATCTATATAAACAAGTGTTCCTTGCATCTGCTGTTGATTTTCCAATCGCAGAGC